TGTGTGTGTGTGTGTGTGTGTGTGTGTGTGTGTGGTGTATGTGTGTGCATGCATAAGTGTGTGTATATGTGAGTGTGTGTGTGTGTCAGTGTGTGTATGCATGAGTGTGTATATATGTGTGTAGTTGTGTATGTGTGCATGAGTGTGTGTATATGTGTGTGTGTTCATGTGTGAGTGTATATGTGTGTGTGTCTTTTCACCATCACTGATTGGCCTTCAGCTTTCCCTGAGTGGAGAGGATGGAGCTGGAGCAGGCCAGAAAAATGGTCCAGAGTAACAGCCCCTTCTCATCTGTGATGTCTCCTACCTTAGGGACAGAGGAAGTGCCTCATAGGAGGCAAATTCACTCCTATGTGATCTCACTTCCAGCCTTGGCCTGGTGCCAGGTCATATGTGACCCTGCTAGCTGGGTGGGGCTGTACATTCCTGTAATTCCAGCATTTAAGAGGTGCAGGCAAGAGGATTGGAGTTCTAGATTACCCTTGGCTTCATAGTAAGTTCAAGGCTAGCCTGGGCTATGTGAGACACGTGTCAAAAACCGAAAGCACACAGGTCTCTGCTGATGTGAGGGTGAGAGGCAGACCACGATTTGCCCACCACTTCCCAAAATATCCCACCCTCCTTAAACCACGATCTTCTCAAGCCAGCCTAGATCCAGGCCAGACTAGGTAGCTGCCTCTTCAAGGGACTGCCACATGCGCGTCTGAAATCTTCCCATTAAAACTCAGTTCTTTGTCCTCCCCCAGACATACTCGCCACCCGCCAACTGCGCAGAAAGCTGTGGCCACCAGACGTCAAGCGCTCTTTTCAGATTGTTTCCTGTAAGTTACAAGCTGGTTTAAATGCTTTGTGGGGGGAGAGAACAAGAGGGGACCTGGGTGCCTGGAAGAGCGGTGGAAAGTGTGGGGGCACGCACACTTCCAGTCACAGCACTCTCCGCCTCAGTTCCTTTGGCAGCAAATGAGAGCAGGAGTTGCCTGCTGTGTAGGTCACACAGCATCAATAAAGACAGTTCAGGGAGAGCACGGCGGCGGAGGGGCAGGAAACGACAAGGCCGGTTATTACCGTCTGAGATAAAGCAAACCCATGGGCATGCCAGGCTGGCAAAAACGCTTGGATCTGTAGGCCTTGCCCCTACCCAACCTCCAACTCTTTACTCTGTGTGTATCTCTCTTTAGCAGCCCTATGACCGGGGGGGGGGGGGGGAACCAACCTAGGTCACCCAGAAAAGCAAGTGGTAGGGAGATTAGGCCAAGCCACAGTGGGAACTCAGGCCCTGGCCCAGCAGGCAACCACAGGCCTCCCTACCTCTTCCCTTCTCCAAGAGCCACATCCGCATGCGTGTGTACACTGACCGCATGGATGACCCCAGTCACACCGCCTGTCCCACACCTGACCCACTGTTGTTCCTAGCCCAGGAACCTTACCACAAAGTGACTAAGACCCTGCTGTCTTATAAGATGTGTCCAGTTAAGAACTGGAAGATTTGGGGACTGGGAGAGCCTTGGACCCTAGCCCAGCCCCTCCTTTTATCTCCCCATAGCTAGTCCAAGGCAGTGGTCCCCAATGAATAAGCACATAGAATCAGAGCTCTCTGTGTTAGACTCCCTAGCCAAATGAGCTAAAGAGACTAAGAGGTTCAGGAATGTGGGGAAATAGTCAGATATAGCAACGGAGAGACAACAGAAACAGAAGAAAACCTCTTTTTCATCCTGGTCCTGTGCTCAACCTGTGTCTCCTCAAGAACAGGCTTCTCTAAGCTTCCTTCTCCTACACCTCCACTCCCTTCAGTACCATCCATTCTAAAAACTTAAATACCAAAGAAAGTACCATTGTGTATGTGTGTGTGCTCACAAGTGTGTCTTGGGGAAGAAGGAAGGGGAAAGGCTGGCAGGGAGGTGGTGAAAGGAGCTGAGAAACCTTCCACAGCAAACCTTTAAGACTCACACGGTGAGCCAGTCCCTGAACAGGAGGCGATGGGAACCTCGCTTGGGGAGGGGTTGCTGAGTAATCACAGGATTACTCAAACTGTTGCCTGGGAGCCTAGTCTGCCAGGAACTTACCATCTCAGGGCCCAATGGTGCCAGGAACTGGAGCCAAT